TGTACTATGTTGAGACTCCTGAGGGCAAGATCGAATCCACTACAGCTTCTGGCTGGACTGGATCTTTCACCTCTACTGTCTCTACCGGTGTGACCACTTTCACTGGCTCTGATGGTATCCCAACCACCGAGACCGTGTACTATGTTGAGACTCCTGAGGGCAAGATCGAATCCACTACAGCTTCCGGCTGGACTGGATCTTTCACCTCCACTGTCTCTACCGGTGTAACCACTTTCACTGGTTCCGACGGTCTTCCAACCACCGAGACTGTTTACTTTGTTGAGACTCCTGAGGGCAAGATCGAATCCACTATAGCTTCTGGCTGGACAGGATCTTTCACCTCTACTGTCTCTACCGGTGTGACCACTTTCACTGGCTCTGACGGTATCCCAACCACCGAGACTGTGTACTACGTTGAGACTCCTGAGGGCAAGATCGAATCCACTACAGCTTCTGGCTGGACTGGATCTTTCACCTCTACTGTCTCTACCGGTGTGACCACTTTCACTGGCTCTGATGGTATTCCAACCACCGAAACTGTATACTATGTTGAGACACCAACAGGCGATTCGACAGGCGATTCGACTTCTTACACTGAATGGACTGGCTCCTTCACAAATACCTATTTTACCGAGACGACAACGTTTACCGGGTCCGATGACATTCCAACTGTTCGTTCCGTGTTCTTCGTTGAAACGCCAGCCGATTCTTCGACCTCTTACATTGGATGGACTGGCTCTTACACATCGACTGTTGCAACCGATGTGACAACTTTCACCGGCTCCGATGGTGTTCCAACTACCCAAACCGTGTATGTTGTTGAGACACCAACTGCTTCGACCTCTTACACCGGATGGACCGGTTCCTTCACGTCGACCTTTTCGACTGGCGCCACTACGTTCACTGGATCTGACGGTAAGCCAACCACCCAGACTGTTTACTACGTTGAGACCCCAACTGGTGCTTCGACCTCTTACACCGGCTGGACTGGCTCTTACACATCAACTATCGCCACCGATGTGACAACTTTCACCGGCTCCGACGGTGTGCCAACTACCCAAACCGTGTATGTTGTTGAGACACCAACTGGTGCTTCGACCTCTTACACCGGATGGACCGGTTCCTTCACATCGACCTTTTCGACTGGTGCCACTACGTTCACTGGATCTGACGGTAAGCCAACCACCCAGACTGTATACTTCGTTGAGACACCAACTGGTGTTTCGACTGTGTACACCCCATGGACTGGTACTTTCACATCAACAATTGCAGCTGCTTTTACCACCTTCACCGGATCAGATGGTAAGCCAACCACCCAAACCGTGTATGTTGTTGAAACTCCAGCTCTTGCTTTAACCTCCTACACCGGCTGGACTGGATCTTTCACCTCTACTGTCTCTACCGGTGTGACCACTTTCACTGGCTCTGATGGTATTCCAACCACCGAGACTGTGTACTACGTTGAGACTCCTGAGGGCAAGATCGAATCCACCACAGCTTCTGGCTGGACAGGATCTTTCACCTCTACTGTCTCTACCGGTGTAACCACTTTCACTGGCTCTGATGGCATCCCAACCACCGAGACCGTGTACTATGTTGAGACTCCTGAGGGCAAGATCGAATCCACTACAGCTTCTGGCTGGACTGGATCTTTCACCTCTACTGTCTCTACCGGTGTGACCACTTTCACTGGCTCTGATGGTATCCTAACTACCGAAACTGTATACTACGTTGAGACCCCTGAGGGCAACATTGAATCCACTACAGCTTCTGGCTGGACTGGATCTTTCACCTCTACTGTCTCTACCGGTGTGACCACTTTCACTGGCTCTGATGGTATCCCAACCACCGAGACCGTGTACTATGTTGAGACTCCTGAGGGCAAGATCGAATCCACTACAGCTTCCGGCTGGACTGGATCTTTCACCTCCACTGTCTCTACCGGTGTAACCACTTTCACTGGTTCCGACGGTCTTCCAACCACCGAGACTGTTTACTTTGTTGAGACTCCTGAGGGCAAGATCGAATCCACTATAGCTTCTGGCTGGACTGGATCTTTCACCTCTACTGTCTCTACCGGTGTGACTACTTTCACTGGCTCTGATGGTAACCCAACCACCGAGACCGTGTACTATGTTGAGACACCAGCTTCGACTTCTTACACCGGCTGGACTGGTTCTTACACATCCACCATTGCAACCGATGTGACAACTTTCACCGGCTCCAACGGTGTGCCAACTACTCAAACCGTGTATGTTGTTGAGACACCAGCTGGTGCTTCGACCTCTTACACCGGATGGACCGGTTCTTACACATCGACTGTTGCAACCGATGTGACAACTTTCACCGGCTCCGACGGTGTTCCAACTACCCAAACCGTGTATGTTGTTGAGACACCAACTGGTGCTTCGACCTCTTACACCGGATGGACTGGTTCTTACACATCAACTATCGCCACCGATGTGACAACTTTCACCGGCTCCGACGGTGTGCCAACTACCCAAACCGTGTATGTTGTTGAGACACCAACTGATGCTTCGACTTCTTACACAGAATGGACTGGCTCCTTCACCAATACCTACTCTACCGGTATGACGACGTTTACCGGATCTGATAATAACCCAACTATTCGTGCCTTGTTCTTTGTTGAAACCCCAGCTCTTGCTTCGACTTCTTACACCGGATGGACTGGTTCTTACACATCGACTGTTGCAACCGATGTGACAACTTTCACCGGCTCCGACGGTGTGCCAACTACCCAAACCGTGTATGTTGTTGAGACACCAACTGGTGCTTCGACCTCTTACACCGGATGGACCGGTTCCTTCACGTCGACCTTTTCGACTGGTGCCACTACGTTCACTGGATCTGACGGTAAGCCAACCACCCAGACTGTTTACTACGTTGAGACCCCAACTAGTGCTTCGACCTCTTACACTGGATGGACTGGTTCTTACACATCGACTGTTGCAACCGATGTGACAACTTTCACCGGCTCCGACGGTGTGCCAACTACCCAAACCGTGTATGTTGTTGAGACACCAACTGGTGCTTCGACCTCTTACACCGGCTGGACTGGTTCTTACACATCCACTGTTGCAACCGATGTGACAACTTTCACCGGCTCCGATGGTGTTCCAACTACCCAAACCGTGTATGTCGTTGAGACACCAACTGGTGCTTCGACCTCTTACACCGGATGGACCGGTTCCTTCACGTCGACCTTTTCGACTGGTGCCACTACGTTCACTGGATCTGATGGTAAGCCAACCACTCAGACTGTTTACTACGTTGAGACCCCAACTGGTGCTTCGACTGTGTACACCCCATGGACTGGTACTTTCACATCAACAATTGCTGCTGCCTTTACCACCTTCACCGGATCGGATGGTAAGCCAACTACCCAAACCGTGTATATTGTTGAAACTCCAGCTCTTGCTTCGACTTCTTACACCGGCTGGACTGGTTCTTACACATCCACTATCGCCACCGATGTGACAACCTTCACCGGCTCCGATGGTGTTCCAACTACCCAAACCGTGTATGTTGTTGAGACACCAACTAGTGCTTCGACCTCTTATACTGGATGGACTGGTTCTTACACATCGACTGTTGCAACCGATGTGACAACTTTTACCGGCTCCGACGGTGTTCCAACTACCCAAACCGTGTATGTTGTTGAGACACCAACTGGTGCTTCGACCTCTTACACCGGCTGGACTGGTTCTTACACATCCACTATCGCCACCGATGTGACAACCTTCACCGGCTCCGATGGTGTTCCAACTACCCAAACCGTGTATGTTGTTGAGACACCAACTGGTGC